CTCACCATGATCTCTATGGGGAATCGCACTGGAACCATCGATATTTCTAAATAGTTGGAGTACTTTGCTAGTACGCGGGTAGTGGGCATGCATCAATAATATTCTAAGTGTGAAAAAATGAGAGCTTACCGTGACACTTATGAAGCAAGCATCTTGCATTACGCACACCTGATGCACGCATTTGCTTTCAGTACACTGACAATGGGTAGCGCTGGCACTCACTAACATGCAAAACGTGGGCTTTCATGCAGGTTTTCCCATTTATTTATAGTGGCATTGCAGCAAAATGTTTCCTTTAGATATCTTCAAATCCTGCTCGAAGAACCAACATGCCTGCTATGGGCACTTTTGCTACCATAGCTGTCAAAGCAATGAGGTGCTGCTGTCAGTTATACAATTCTCAACGTTGCGTGCCCGCCGCACTACAATTGGCGCTGTTCGCGACTTTCAAAGCGCCTCCTGTAGGTCCCAAATGAAGTGTACTATATCATTCGTCATTGCGAACATTGTCATCGCTACAAGAGGCTCAGAAAAGCCTCCACGAAAGGCTTGAGGGAGTAAAACTGACGTCGTCGATAGCTATCAGTGCTCCGCTGGCTGGTCTCACGTAGTGATCGTAACAGCAGACATTTATTTGTGAGTGGAGCGTCTACTGTGCAATAGCAGTGCAGATGAAGAACCACCAGATGGCCAAAATTTTCGGAGCCCTTCACGTCGTGAAGTGTAGAAACTTGGCCATATATTGCTAGTGTTCTTAGGCATGTTGGAAGCATGCTCTGGGCATCATATTGAATCACAGAGTGCGTCACCTGTAGTTCGTGGGTAGTGTAAATAGCGTAAAACCGGTAAAACGATGCCCCGCAAAGCACTAAATTATCTACGCATGAGTAATCAAAGCTCCGAAAACTGGTCGGCTTGCTTCTAGCTGTGAATCGGGCAATGTTCGACAAAAATGTAGTTCAGCTTGGTCCAAAGTAATAAAGAGCGTAAATGTATTTTCACAAAATAAGTGTTGCTCACTATGTGTAATGCAAAAGTTTTGGGCGCAGATAGACAAATTATAAAGATGCAGGGACGCTTTGCGCAGACATGGTGGTCAGCAAAACCAGCATAAATATCGCAAAATTCTGCCTTACCATTCGCAAATAGTCTATCATTGAAGCAAATATACCCGAAGTGTCAGCCAACAGCATCATTTACTGTGAACCAGCATGTTTTCCAAGAAAGCAAAATGAGACAGTAGGTGGGAAGTGGACAGCTGTTGCTCAGAGGGACATTCTAATGAAGGTTTGTTAGCCATGTGTCTCTCATGATGCATGCTTACATAGTGCTTTTTTTTGTCATCATCTAAAAAGAACACTCTAGGGTGCATACTTGAGAGGGACTATTTGCCTGCATCTGTCTGGCTGACTGACTACACTACTTTTGTTCAGCACGAACGACATCAGAAGTTTCAAAAAGTGCATTGCTAGTGAGCTTGTTTCTCAAAGACCAACTTGCATTTCAAACTTGAAATTTGGCTAATAGCGTTATCTTGAGCTGGACTGCCTATAAATTGTTCTTGAGGTGTGCAAAATTTCGTAGCAGTTTGCCTTGAAAACCACATCTGTCCTATTACCTCTTTGTACACTCAGCCTTCTTCATTCAGCTCTGAAAGGTAAATTTCGATGTTGCATCAGTTTTATTACTTAAAGCTTCCCTAGTGAGCTTTAAATGAAACATATTGGTATTTAAGGGCATAAAACAGAGAACATGTAAGAGACAGATTTTCCAACCGAGAGCTCTTGTACTAACACATCAGAACAAACTCGCCAAAATATCTGCGCTTTGAAATGAAACACTCATATATTGTATATAGCAGTGCTACAGTGTCCGGTATTTAGGATTGTAGAACAGACTTTATTATGGTGGAAAATAACGAGAAAAAATTAACGAATACACGTCAAAACAATGCAGCTATGGTACTATCAATGCTTATCTATGGTACTATCAATGCATCTATGGTACTATCAATGCTGAGTAGAAATTTTTTATGTGCACTTTATGCCATCAATTATATTATCATCCTAAAGTCTTTTTAGAAAGTGATTGCAAAGTTCTGTTTTTGTATGGGTTATTTTTTACAATAAGATTGTTTTGTCACTTTAAGTAGGTTTTTCAACATGTTGCTACAGTTTTTTCATACCTTAGTCTCCGACTTACATTAAATGGCTGTTTTCTTTTTTATTTTTGTTTTCCTGTAGAGATCGTTCATCTTGTGCATACTAGTATGAAAACCTTAATTTAATCAGTGGTTAGGTAGAATATCAAATATTGTATGTCTTTTAACAGTTTCAGTGCTTGCATGCTTTGCTTTAAGAAATAAGGAATATGAATTTTGTACTACTTCAGGATTATGCAAATTGCAGTACAGCCAGTGCCATGAATTGTGTTGATAAACTTATCTAGACTGAAGAGTGAAATAAAATTAAACATGTTATTGCGAGATAGATTTGCAATGAAAGTTTCAAATACGAGAAGGTGATCAGTGCTAAGTGCATCTTGTGCGTTTGGTGTTGATGTCTTGAAACATGGTCAACAACAATATCAGCTTCACTGTGCAAAAACTGACTGTGAAATTAGAAGTGCAAGCCCAAAAACAAAAAAAAAAGTGATTATATGCTGTGGTGGTAGACGTTTCGGGCGGTATCAATATCGCCAGTGGCGGCGTGTCAGTGCTTGCCTGTTCGGCGGTGGCGCGTCGACAGCGGGGAGCTCATCGGATTGGCGCGACTTGAAGTGAGGGTGGGCTGTAGATTGAAGAGTTGTTCAAGATAAAAGTTTGTCCTTAGAATTAGAAAAAAAATCTGTTTCCCCAAAAGTGTGAAACAGCTAACGTGATAGCAACATTTTTTAATGTTATTTATTTATAAATACTGCTGTGCCACTTCTTGAGACAGTACATTTAAATACAAATGCTCAGCACCCTGAAAAAGATTCTTTTAAAAAAAATATGTGTTTGCGCAATTTTTTTTAAACTGCTCAGCACTGAGTCTGCACAGAGACTCATCAAGCTCATTTCATAAATCCACATTCTGCAGGGGGAAGGGGACGAAAACAATTCACATTATATCTAAGGTGCACAATATTTAGAGGATCGGATTACTGGATGCGGTGTGCAGAAGATGGAAGGAAGCATATGGTTGCTAGAACACTCGAAGCGGTGTGAACTATCCTAGGCAGGATAATGGCACAATGGCAAGTGCACCGATGTTTGTACATGCACATGCTAAGTAGGCGAGAAACACTGGTCATAGCGGCAAAATAAAAACCTGATTGCTTTTTTTAAATAGATTTTCACATAGCTATGTCGTGTCTGTGGTGAGGTGACCAAACAACCAACACACATTTGAGCCTGGACAGTCTTATGTGCTGTCAGTCCGCATTCTTTTGTCGAGTCACTTAACATGCGTCGCAGATACCAATGTTTTTGAAGAGCTTGTTCCATATTGTTTAGACGCGCGTGTGCCATTTTAAGTTTGTTACAAGGCTTTCACCAATCCATTTAAACTTGTAACCTATAGCAGGTTTAGACTGTCATTAGTGTATGTAAAATGAAGAGGCTGTCTCTTATTCCTTTAGTTTCTAATTACAGTCTTTTTGAAGTTCCGTGTTTCACTCCAGTTACACAAGGATGAAAAAAAAAACACTGCAGTAGACTGGCTATAATTCAAACTCTGATAGTTTAAACTTTCGGGTAATGCAAGAGCTTCAGGAAATTGGTGTTGTATTGGGTAAGCTGTTTCATAGAATCCATTGCTGATGAGAACTAGAAATTACAACCACAGCTATGGCAAATGGGTCTTTGTACAGGCTCAGTCTGCTGTGCATAGCTGCTAAGGTCATTTCTCACCATATTGTCTGACTTCTCCAGAAGCATGAACTGAATTATGTTGGGCAATGTTACCAGACAGCGAAACGACCTGCTCATGTGTCGAATGCACTTTTTTTAAAGTGTTAGTGCAGGCAGTAAACTGAAATGCGTTGCTTGAATCTAGAGTTTATACTGTGTTCACTCATCGTACTAGAGAATTTGCACGAAATGCCTTATGCCAGAGCCTCTGGCAAGCAGCCGCAACAATATCATTTCAGCTAATATGATGACAATGTTTTTATTCGGGAACTCATGTATGCGTAGATCGTGTGGTAAGATAGGTCTATTGTTTAGAGGGGCTACCTGTTTCTATAAACAATGTCAGCTCCTCTCGTGAAAAAGCCAACCGTGCAGTGCGGGCTATATGCAACGTATGGTCTTGCACTGGACTGCATGTGTCACTAATAGAATCAAGCCTCAACTAAACAATCGCATGGCCCCAGAAAACGTGGGAGCTTGACACAACTAGCTGTTCTTGAATGCTGTTTGTACAAATATAGTCTCGTTAAAAAGTTTAGGGATTTCGGCATATAGCGATTTACGAGTGCCATCAGAAAAATTCGGAGGGTAGAGCAGTGACTTTGTGTGTGTGTGTGTGTATACATGCATGGGTTGAAAATTTTCTGAACAAGTTTAAAGCTTCCAACCCACTGCCCCCACTTCTGCGGATTGTGGACTCAATTATGTAGAGTACCTTTCGTCAGTGACGTAATTGTTCAACCCGTCATGGTGGCCTAGTGGCTAAGGCACTCAGCAGTGCTGACCTGCAGGTCGCGGGATTGAATCCTTGCCACGGTGGCCATGTTTTTGATAGAGGCGAAAATGCTTGAGGTCAGTGTGCCTAGATTTAGATGCATGTTCAAGAACCCCCGGTGGTATAAGTTTTTGGAGCTCTCTATTACAGCATCTCTCATAATCATATGGTGATTTTGGGGCATTACACTCCAAGGATTATTATGATGCGCTTGTTCTGCTTTTTGTTAAAGTAATTCGCTCTGTCTCCTGCCAATCGTGTTCTTAGAAGTAAACTTGCCTTGCTTGAAACTATGCAGGTTTCTTTCTTGAATGCATTTTTTGCAATATGCAGGAAAGCTGCACCTTGACGGGTACTCTGTGCAGAACCTGCGCTACCTGAATAGAGGTGACGTCAGCCAGAACGAGGCACAGGACGCCACACGTTTTGAAGCCTGGAAGGTGAGAGCCGTCATGTACGAGCGAGCTACCACTTTTGCCAATATAGCCCATTCATCTTGACTCTTCAGATCACACTTGAGTGAATTTGAACAAATTGTTGCTTATCAAATCAAATCAAATAATTTTTATTTTCCCAGAAGGTACTGGAGAGGTTCGCCAGCTAAAGGCTGTTTCTGGACAGCTTGATGAGGCGAGTGAGCCCTTTACTAGGCAGTTGGGAGAATGACATGGTCTACAGAGGTGTCCAATGCACCAGTGGTCACAACATATTGTTGCAAATGTATTTATTACTTTACAGTAGAAAAATAGTTCAGAATTGAAGATGGTGGCTGTTGTATGTTTCAAACACCAACACATCGTCATCCTCTTCTTCGGACAACCCCTCATAAAGATAGCCGCGACCCTGCCATATCGACCTCTGGCTACAAAAAGCGCCGATCCAGCGCTTGTTAGCAGGTTTTGAACGAAAAGTACGGCTTTAGGCGAGTGACGAGGACAATGTCTGAAGATGCTTATTTTATTTTATTTTATTTAGTACATACTGCGAACTATAAATGGTCCAAGCAGGAAGGGCACATTACATACAAAAAAAAACAGAAATAACATGCACCATACATAATGCAATTCATTCTACTTAATTCACAATGAATGGGGATCACATAATTTGTTCCAATCAGACACTGTCCGTGGAAAGAAAGAATACATAAAGACATCAGTTCTCGCGAAATATTGGGTAAGCAAATTGGGATGGTGATGTCGGGTTTGCTTAGTTGATAGGAAAGATAGATATGGTGATGGATCAATGGCGAGTTTATTGTTAAGTAACAAGAAAAGGAAATCAAGCCGTTGTTTGAGTCTGCGCGAAGCAAGTGGCTGAATGTCATTTGCAGTCATTAGTGCAGAGGGTGAATCAGATGGTAAGTATTTGTTGTATATAAAACGAACTGCTTTCCTTTGAACCCGCTCAATTTTATCAATATTAAACTTAGTGTAAGGATCCCATACTGTGCTGGCATATTCTAATTTAGGTCTTACAAAATAAAAATGACTAAGAAGCTTTACATTTGGAGGGCAGTTACGCAGTTTATGTCTTAAATAGCCGAGTTTTCGGAGGGCAGCTGAACATACGTTGTCTATGTGGTCGTTCCAGGATAAATTGTTAGTTATGGTCAAGCCCAAATATTTATAGCTAGTGACCTCTCTCAGGGATGACGGCCCTAGTTTGTAGATATAGTATAACGGATTTTTTTGACGTGTCAGACGCATACACACACTTTTGTCTACGTTGAGGGTCATTCCCCGTTCATTGCACCACCGATCTATATTGGAAAGATTTGTGTTAAGTTCGTTTTGATCATGAACAGAGTAAATATCACGAAACAAAACACAATCATCAGCAAATAATCTAGTTTGTACTGTAGGTGTTATGACATTGACAATATCATTGATATAAATGAGAAAAAGCAATGGCCCCATATACTTCCCTGAGGCACACCTGATGAGACATGAAGAGATGGTAAATGGTGGTCATTAATGGCAACAAACTGTGACCGGTTAGTAAGATATTCGGCAATCCAGTTTACGGGAATGTCTGGAAGGCCAATCCGCTTAAGTTTTTGAATCAGTTTATCGTGAGGTAGTCTGTCAAGCGCTTTACTGAAATCTAAGAAAATTATGTCAGTTTGCCTATTGTTATCAAGATTTAGTGCAAATGAGTGGATTACTGTAACTGATTGCGTTACTGTTGAATATACCTTTCTAAACCCGTGTTGAAATTGTGTCAAAATAGAATGTTGGTCCAAAAAATTTACTATTTGGGGGGCATCACATCACATCACATCACTTTAATACCTTAAAGACCCCCAAGGGGGTATTACATAAGGGGTGGGTTACAGGTAAATGTACACAGGTTTTCAAATGGAAATTTGCGTGGTGACCATCTCTTTAAATGTTGATGGACACGTGATGGCTGGAACGTCACAGGGAAGGCCATTCCAGTCCACTGCTACACGGGGGAAAAAAAGGCAGAAAAAGTAGTAGTGCGAGCATGTGGACGGGCAATTTGAAACGCGTGGGCAGTGCGGTGAGATATGCGCGTCGGTGGGACGATGTAGGGTGCTTGATTAAGAGGGCTGTGAAAGAACTTGTGTAGCAAACAAAGGCTGGTAATGCGACGGCGCACTGAAAGATTCGAAAGACCAGTTTCACGTTTAAGGGATGATATGCTTAGCATGGCAATAATACGTTCAATTAATTTACAGCAGGATGACGTTAGAGATATAGGACGATAATTTTGAGGAGAAAGACGGTTCCCTTTTTTAAATACGGGATTAATGCGAGCGGCCTTCCAGTCACCTGGTAGCTTTGATGACAACAATGAAACACAAAAAATTTTATACAGGAATTTTACGAAATGTTCAGCATATCTATTTAGAAACATATTTGGCAGATCATCCGGTCCACACGATGTTTCGGACTTAAGGTTTAAAAGCATCGCGAATATGCCAGAGTAAGACACAAAAGATGCTTCAGATGGATAGAAAACTTTACCGCTTGGTACCTATGTACTAGAACCAGAAAACTCACTTTGAAAATATGTATTAAAATGCTCAGCCACCGCTTTCTGGTCATTAACAATCACGCCCTCAATTTCTATTTCTGTCATGGGTTTCTTTTTGTCGGCAATATAATTCCAGAATTTACTTGGGTCATTTTTTATGAAATTTGGCAGCAATGTCATAAAGTAGCGATCTTTAGAGGAGCGTACGGCCCGTGCAAGGCTGACCTTGAGGGTTGAAAGAGCACTAGTCTGCTCTTGCTTTTTCCATAATCGCTTTATTTTTCGCTTTAGTTGAATAATATTGTGCGTAATCCAAGGAGTTTGTTTGTGAACCTTCTTACGTTTATTCGGAATAAAGTTGTCTATGCAATGGTGACACATTGCTTTAAATCGGTTCCACATTGTTCCGACATCTTCAGCATCAAATACGGCAAAACACGATTCCATGTAGTCTATCACAGATACGTCATCTGCTCGTGAGTAATCTTTGAAACAATGAACCAATGATTTTTTATCGCTCGTGCATCTGGTAAAGGGAACGGATATACTAACCAAATTGTGATCAGACAGGCCCTGTTCCACGGAAACAGTGTGCTGCTCTAGTTCACGGCTTATAAATACCAAATCAAGAATGGAACTACTGGACCCATGCACACGGGTTGGCTCTTTCACAACTTGCATCAGGTTATGAGTAAGCATGACGTCAAACAAAGCCTCCATCTTTTTTTTGTACAAGGGCCCCGTCGTAAAGCGTTCCCAGTCAACAGAAGGTAGGTTAAAATCACCAGCTAATAAAATTTTCTGGTTGCTAAACTGGGACATATGTTCATGTAATTTTGCCATACATTCAAACGTAGTCTCAGGGGGTCTGTATGCGGCATATAAAATAAAACTATGGCTCCAACAAGACATTCTGATGCATACACACTCTAGTTCATCGACACTCGCGATAATTGTAGCCTGTATTGTGTCTTTCACAAGGACGGCTATTCCACCACCACTTGTAGCTCCACGGCACAGGCAGTTGCTTGGCCACGACGCAGGCTGTCCCAGGGCGTTGATACTCGCAGATCAGGCACGCGCCAGATAGGAGCATTGCAGGCATGCGCAGATGTCGTTTCGCAGCTCCCTGAGCACCCGGCACGAACTGGCGGCAGAAGGTTGATGATTTGGAGAAGAAACACGAATGGATTACGGACGGTCCTCATGCTGGTACAGTCGCCACACCAGATCAGATATTGAGGGCACCGAAGGGTTTAGAGGGGCTACATTATAGGTAACATCAGTTACCTGCCGTAGCACATGGTAAGGCCTGAAGTACTTGGGTAAAAGCTTTTTGGCTAAGCAAACATGCCGCGAGGCATTCATAGAAGAAAGAGGTCACCCAGATTAAAGCAGACGTTCCGGTGGTGGCTGTCATAACTATGTTTCTGACAGAGCGTGTCAGAAACATAGACACAGAGCTATGTCTGAAAGGCATCGATTGACAATCTTATGGGCCTTCTCAGCTGTGCTAACAGTGTGGCGAGCATATGCTGTGGACAGGTGGCCAGGGTTGGTTACAAGCGTGTCGATCGACGCACCACAGCGATGTTGGTTCTCTTCTGAACAGAAGGCAAAAGGGAGAATATCCAGAAGTGTCCTGGCACGAGCTATTGTAAGCGAAAGTGACAAATGGTAGAGCAATGTCCCAGTCATGATGATTTGTTGGGAAGGACATGGTGAGCATATCAGTGAGCGTATGATTCAAACGTTCTGTGAGGTCATTCTTTTGGGGATGATAGGCATCATAGGCTTGTGCTTGGTTGCACAAGAACGAAGTAGGTTGTCGATTATCTTAGATAAAAAGTAGGGACTGCGGTCGGTGACCAGTTGACGAGAAGCACCGTGATGTAAGATGACGTCTTGAATCATAGAGTCCGCGACGTCTTTAGCACAGCTGCTTGGTAGAGGTCTCGTTATGGCAAAATGGGTCCAATATATAGTAGCGATGACGACCCACCTAGTATCGTTGTCAGATAAAGGGAAAGGGCCCAGCAGGTCGAGGCCGGCATGAAAGAAAGGCTCGGTAGGTATGTCAATTCGTTATAGGAGCTCGACGGGGTGTACAGTTGGCCTTTTGCGGCATTGGCACAACTTTAAAGAAGAAAATTGGCGGTATAAAACGCTGTGTATGACGACGAACATTCGAAGAGAACTGTCCGTTGAGCCAGTATTCAGGGGGCTGAATAGATCTCGTAGGGAAGTGTCACGATGTTGCTCACTGCCCATGTTGCTGCAAGCGGAGAGCGAAGATGTACAGATGGACGCATAGTATGTTACCTGATTTGGAGCGTCACGGGGTACCTTAGAGTTGCCACCCTTCCCAGAAAAAAAAAAAAGAAAAGCCGGCCCGCCAGTGGGGGTCACGAAGTTGAGGTTGTGTGGAAAATAAACAAAG